AAGATGCCTAGAGAAACTTACAACGTTTCAATAAAATTCCCAGGGTAGCCATCAACAAAAGGCACACTACTCCCAAGGCGCCAGAAATCAGCCTCCACGAAGTGGTCTGAAAAGCTGTAGAAAAAGAGAGAGATGGCAAAGGTTTAAAGAACAAACATAGCAGCTGAAGTTCTTAAAAGCAGAAACCAGTGAGAGAAAATCCAGAAGCATCAGGATTCACAGTATGGATATATAGAGAAATATAGTATTTTTTAGGTCTTTTAGGTGATAACACAGTCATCCCGCCAATGAACCATTGGAAAAGGAAGACATTCCATGTAAAACTCCAACCAACACCAACATTTTTTTTGGGGGGGTGAGGGTGGGGTACATTATTCCTCACTGAGATTATCCACACATTTTCTTCTCTACCAGCTCTGTCTCCAGAAGACACTGAATTTAACATTAGTTGTTTTGTTTTGTTTTTTTCAAATTGGCAAAGAAGCTTAGAGATCTAGTGTAAAAAGAGAGCAACAGGCTTCAACTTCTGTTTCATGTGCTGACATAACAGGCTTTTTACTTTTATTCTCTCATGAAAAATCTCAAGGTAGATAGCCTGGTTTCCACTAGATAGATGAGACAATTGAGGGTCCAAGAAGAACATCATTTTCTCAAGGTATTAAAGCTAGTAGGCGTGCAAGTCAGACATAAAATTTAATTCTAAGCCCAGAGTCTTTCATGTAACATATTTTACCATTGTCACTGACATAATACTATTTGTAGAATGTCCTTCTGCTACTCTCAGTACAGGCTCTGCTGTGAGAAATGTTTAGCTGCTCCTAGCTGTAGGTATTGTAAGACAAAGAGACAGGAGCACTTTGCGACTGGGGATGGGAGATTCCAAAGCCAATGTATAGAGGAATTCTCTGGCGAGCCAAGTTCCTTTCCTAGAACATTGAATTATGATGTATAAACAACCTTTTTTTTTTTTAACAGGAACATGGCATTTGCTCTTACCAAAAATTACTTGGTTTTAAGCTTTTTCCTGAAACAATTCAACTTTAGCAGATCCTGCATTAACATTAGCATACCCCTCAGAGTCAAGCCAGTGACAATACTACACTGTTTAAACTTCCTCTGGGGGAGCTTTGGGAGTCGCAACACAAATGCTAAAAAAAAAAAAAAAAATTAAGCATTGTGTCATTTATATTTGGCATTATCTGTCTATTCCTATGGTAGAATTACATTGATCGTAATATAACCAGGTGAATTCATTTCTCATTCCGAATTTAGACATATCTACATCCGAAGCCACTCTGCTGAAAAAGCTTTCCAGACTATTTATAAGCTACAGAATGATGAATCAAGAAACTAAAGAGAATGTAGAAGGTGCTGACACGTGGAAAGCCTAAAAACTCTACTGTCAATTATGCCCTCTTCTCTTAAAGCCCTGCCGTGAAATTTGCCATGTCCTATGGGACCCTTCTTTTGGGTACTTTCCTCTTTTGCTTTTCTGACTGGGGGCACACATACCTGCCATGAGAAATGATGTCCCAAGGTGGATGCAGGGAAGGCAGGCAGAGGTCTTGGTGGAGAGGAGCGGTGCTGGATCACAGAGCCGGCTGGAAGCCAAGGAATACCAAAGTTGCGCAGGAGGAATTTTAAAAGAAAAAGAGAAAGAAAAAATGCAATATTTACGA